ATGCAGCGTGTAATATATAGACAAAACAAAGAATTGATTTTCTTCCCTGCCCTTGGTCAAATTCTTCTTTTGTTTTTCACATCTTTGATTATGAGTGTTGTACAGTATTGTGATACATTGTACAAGTGTATATCCACCACTTTAAGGTCCAAACTGCTCCACCAAATAAAATCTGCTCAAAGATTGTAGGTCAACCCTTTGAGAAACGCTTGGAATCAGCCTACCATAATAACATTTTCTCTGACCCCAGCCATGTCCTGAACAGTGAATTTGAATAACGATATTGCAATTTGCAAAGACTGAAATCATCTCTAGTCTCATATCAGGATACCAATATGATATTGATATTTTGTCGGCCTTATTATATAGTAATCAAACCTCTAACAGCATCAGCAAAGTGAACATTCGTCACCTCTAGTGATTCAAGTCAGCCGACGTCCCTGAACCCAGACCATCACATAACCTGCGAGGCATTTCTAGGGATGACATACAGTGGAAATATTCATTTTAATCTGTATCAACACAACTCCTGACATGAGTGTTTTGTCAAGAGCACATAAACACACACTCAAAGACACTTCTTAATATATCCCTGAGCGGTGCCCTCACACAAAGCTGGATGGGCTACAGTTACACACAGATGGATCAAGAGGCTTGACTGAGTGTGTGTGTGTGTTAACTGTAAATGTGTGACAGTGTCTGTGGTCGTTCTGGGGTGAGGTTTGTATGACGCTGTCTTGGGAGGGGAAGGAGGGAGTGATGGGATAGGACCCAGCCCACACACACCAGAGGAAAACACAGCTCCTCTCCACTGTGTTGGCCAGTAAGTGGCATGTTATTTAAAGTTCTCCATATTATATAGGAAAAATATATCAAGGCATTCAAAAACGGCATGCGCCACCTCCCCTTAATTTGTGTGTTTTTTTTACAATGAAAAAGGTAATCTTGAAGATAGTTTAGCAGGTTTGATGAAGTCATTAGAAAAATGCTAATGTCACGCTTAGCAGGTATAATATTAACATAGTATTCGATTCATATTTAACGTGTTAGTATGATTAACACAACATAGTACATGTCCAAGGTAAATACTTTATGTATGTGGCACTCGTCACATTTTCAACCTTTCTTTTAAGAATTTCTCAGTTCTAGCTAGCTACGTGGCAGATAGAATTCTATTGAGAAATGGCAGTAATTGGCAGTCATAATGCTAACAAAGATTACATAGTTATCTCCGAAGGTTGTGAAGAATCAACCCATAGTGGGTCCCAGGCCAAGACTGTTAATAGTGCCAGACCATAAATGTGCACTACAGTCCCCTGCACGTGGATAACGTTAGCATTTTATGCAGGCTTAATGTGAGCATGTTTGAAATAAAAAATTCCTGCTTTTTTGCCTGCACAACTTCAGAGAATTTAGAAAAACAAGCAAGCTTTCCATCCAAACGTATCGCAAATGTGAACCTCATTTGAAAAAGCATTGGCAAGTGAAAATACGTATGAATGCTTGTTTTTCCTCTACTACTGTTATGAAATGATTAGGAGTTGGTTCATGGAGATAAGCAGTCACTGGTGCCAATCCTTCAGTCCAAAAAACCCTATACCATTGCAGGAGAAGAAAACAGCGCAACAAGTTGAAATACTCAGAAGAGCCGCAAATGGTGAAAAAGCAATGTAACCACCTGGATGGAAATATTTCAGTTTGTATCATGTATTAATGTGAGGAAGGTAACATCAGGTCTGTATGGAGCGATGAGGAGAATTTTGAAATCTGCTTAATTTTGTCTCTTCCGCCAAATAGAAGTGTATGCGTCTCCATTGGACGCTGTTGCCTTTTACTTTTCTCGATACACTCTGTTGTTGTTTTTTACCTTAGTCAAGCTTAAAACACTAGTTTACACATAACAATATCAACCTCGTTGTGGATCATATTGAAGTTAATGATTGTATATATGAACGATTTTCTTACTTTCTCACATTTCTGCAGTCACAACAACAACAACTCAGTCTCTACCTGAGTAGTGTGGAAATAACTGCTACTTTCCTGAATATAAGTATGACACAAACACTGTCTGTTTAAATATTATTTGAAATACACTTTGCTGCAATGAGTAAGACACTAGTGTTGAAATGAGATAATAACAAATCTAAATCTGCTGCACAAATAAATCTTATTCTCAGTCACACACTGACAACTGTCAGCACTGTCATGTTTACATCATCCTGTGGGAAGAACAGCATCTGGTGCGTGTGTGTGGGTTTGTGAGTGTGCGAGAGTAAGTGAAAGCTTGTGGATATGATTATACAGAGCTAGGAGTCACACCCTAACTTGGTCCATGCATCTTTGAAACACACACAAACACACACAGATGAAATAACAGTTAAGGCCCAACACAAATGGCCAAAACACGCCTTACCTTCCCTTCACAAAGCGCCCAGTTTAAACACACTAATATCAACACACACCATGCTCTGGTTGTGTGACACTAACACAGACATAGTAACACACTGCCAGCAGCACCGCCCTGACACACAGACAAGCTGTTTGACTGCCAACGTGTATGACCGGTGTGTGTGTGCGTTTGTTTGTGTGAGAGTAGTTTGGATGGTGAAGAAAATAAGAACTTTAAAAATATATAAAAGGGATAAAAGGGAATTGAAGATAGAGCATGCACACAACAACACATTTTAAAGTCACCTCTAAATTCACTCCAAGTTCAACTTTTTCAATTGTTCTATTATGTATGACTATCTGATGTGAGGCAAAAAAGCGTAAGGTGGGAGAAAGTGTAAAACGAACGCACACACTCAGCTGAGCTTCGCACACACAAACATAACCTCTCATAATGACAAAACACAAAATCAAAAACTCACCCCCACACTCATGTGTTGTCTCAAACTCTTTGTTTTTTGTTTTAAAAGCAAATGTTTAAAGGTAGCGATGGAAGAAAGACCTCAAGACGACTACGAAGGAGCACAAGAGGTGAGAGGAAGAAGAGAGGGAGGAGGAGGAGCTGCTTGGCTAGCTAACAATCCTCTTAGCCTGCTGATGTCATGGGACCAAGCTAATCCTACCTTTACTGACTGACCCGCACATGCACGCACATGCACGCACACACACACACACACACACACACACACACACACACACACACACACCACACACACACACACACACACCACACACACACACCACACACACACACACACACACACACACACACCACACACACACACACACACACACACATTGGCTGACTAACTAGCAGACTGACCAACACAGACGCGCACAAGCAACATGGTGGCTAACCGAGGCCTAGCAACATGTACAGAGCAGTCTAGCCATTGGTTAAATACAATAGTTTACATGGCTGAAAATAGCTGTTAGTGATAAATAAGAAGCTGCTAGCATGAGGTCAGCAGCTCTTTTTACAATATGACTCAATGTTTTGTAGGGAGGACAGGATGAAGAAAGCTAGCAAAACAAACTCCGTAAGCTAGCGGCAATTATACCAACACAAACGCGCCAAACACATGGCTGGTGACTGGCTAACGGAGGCTTAGCCAACATGTACAAAGCAGAATAGTCTGTGGATAAACACAATAACCAACATGGTTGAAAATAGCTATTAGTGATAAACAAGAAGCTGCCAGTGTGAGGTCAGCTACTCTATTTAACATATTACTCACTGTTTTGTAGGGGACAGGGATAAAGGATAAAGCAAGATACAAAACAACAGCTAACAGACGATGTACCAACACACGCACACCACATAAACATGGTGGTTGACTGGCTAACGGAGGCTTAGCCAACATATAAAGCAGTATAGTCTGGGGTTAAATAAAATAGCCAACAATGGTTGAAAATAAATAAAAAGCAGCTCACACGAGGTCGGCTGCCCTCTTTACCATAGTATTCACTGTTTTGAAGGGAGGACAGGATAAAGAAAGCTAGCAAAACAAAAACCAGTACGATTACGGCAGTTAGCCAGGCTGGTATATTCTAGTAAAGGTACACAAGGGAGATTGAGAATGTGATAAAATGCAGATAAAAAGAGCTAGTTTTTCACATGCTTTTGTAAATAGATGTTCTCTTAACATAAACATTTAAAATGTACATAATAAAATGCTTGTTACTGATGAATTTCAAGTTCAAGTGTACATTTTAATATCCAATGTATATTGTGGAAGAGGTTTGACCCTTGACATTAAGATAATCTGGCTTTCATAAAAATGTAGTTAAAGAACCTTGTGGTAGGTAGTGTGTGTGTGTGTGTGTGTGTGTGTGTGTGTGTGTGTGTGTGTGTGTGTGTGTGTGTGTGTGTGTGTGTGTGTGTGTGTGTGTGTGTGTGTGTGTGTGTGTGTGTGTGTGTGTGTGTTCACATGGTTCCTGGTGGTGAACTATAATAATCACTGTCACTAATCCGTGGGCTAATCCGCTAGACTACACACAGAGACATACACTTACATTGTACTGTAATTATGTGAGGAATACACACACAGCCCCTTCAATTTATATTAATGGAATGTTTAAATATTTTAGGAAACAGCTAGTCTCGCTCATGCTATCCAAACATGCTATATCTTGATAGTGACATCCATACATAAAACAAGGTGTAAAACATTTATTTACAGGTTTTTTTGGAAGACCTTTGGTCAGAGCTAGGCCTTATATTTCAGTCTTTCAGTCAGTCTTTTCCGAGGGCTAAGAGATATCTTGGTATCTTGGATATAAATTGAATGTTTCTCATGCTCTATAGGCACTGTTTAAACGCCATACGTGCGTATATTAGAGTGTGTTTGTCACACATTATAGTGCAGAGAGCTTTATATACACATTGCACAATCGACCTGGATGTGGAGATCGAGCTAATTAGAGATTCATAACACAGCCCAGCCAAGCCCTGTGTGTGCGTGTGTGCGTGCGTGTGCGTGCGTGCGTGTGTGTGTGTGTGTGTGTGTGTGTGTGTGTGCGTGTGTGTGTGTGTGTGTGTGTCCACCTACCTTGTCATCAGCACTCTCTGCTTCTTCTTCTTGGGTCCAGCTCTGCTCCAAAGGCTGCGGGCTTCCTGCATACACATGAGCAATGAAAAAAATGTAAGCATGAAATATTGTAAAAAAGAAAAAGGATTTATTTGGTTATTTTCCCATAAATCATGTTCTTGTCTCAGTATTCTACAATGTATTCTGGTTTGAAGGCAGGACTGTGTTTATGTGTCCTTGTTAGCACTGTCCTTATTCATATTCAGCCTCTCTTATTCCTACTAAGGATGCAGAGGATGGTGTTGGCCCCTTGCCTGCTGTAACAGCAATAAAACACAGAGGACAAGCTAACGCAGGCTTTATAGACTGTACATGGCTATATGTTTCTGACCTCCTAGAGAAACTGCCATTGGATAACAATAAAAACAAAAAAGAAACATTGAATAGTGTGAGAACTAAAGCAGAATCTCCCTAATCGTATTGCTCTGCCTTTCTCTCTGTGTATAATCTATAAATAGCCCCATTCTCTTAATTCTACTAAAACCAGACAGGCTCAATCTGGGCTAATCCCAGCCGGCTCCAAGTTTCACCTCCAGTCAATAGAGCAGTCAGAGCAGAGCTTAGCATTCGACTATCTGACAAGCAATACAGAACTTTAAACACTATTTACATTCAATTGAGCAGTTATTTAATTACAGTTGATTTAAAAAAGGAAGCTATTAAACAGGACAGTTAAAATAGCACGCTAATAACCAAGAGTCATTTATTGAAACTGGTAGAAATACAGCTAAATCAGTCGTGGTGGACCTGGGTAACTTATTACTAGTCGTGTCAATTTGTTCAAATATGAAAGTAAGTCAATCAAGACAGAGGTTTCTTTTTTAGTTAATTACAACATCTTAGCTTAGTTTAGATTATTTCTGAATGATTGGCATGAATTGGACTTAATTAGCAGACAAGGAACCCTAACCCGTAACTCTAGCCCTAAACCATAAGTCACTTTTGCTATAAAGTGAATGTAAGCAGCTAACATCCCAACTAAATGAATTCCCAATTGAGAAGGCATATCTAAGAAATGAAATGCCGTAGTGAACTTCAATGGTGGAAAGTAACTCAGTACATTTACTCAAATATTGTACTTAATTACTTTTTTAAAATATTTGTACTGTACTGTACTGAGTATTTCCATTTAAAGCTACTTTATACTTCTATTCCGCCACATTTCAGGCAAATATCTTACTTTTTACTCCACTGGGACTTTTACTTGTAATGGAGTACTTTAAGATCATAGAATGTGTACTTTTACTTAAGTAAAGGATCTGAGTACTTCTTCCAACACTGGTGTACTTCAGACCAATGGTGGAAAGGCAGCTCGTCACTGTCATTTGTGCAAACTGATTTTGTTCTATCTTTTAAAAATATTGTTCTGTTCAACACTGTGTGAGCCCTGTTTGCCCTCAAATCACACAATGGAATAACAGGAGGAAGTTGGGTATAAAAAATGCTTTTAATTATTTTTAAAGGTTTACAGATAGATTGCGTACATCCTACTTTTTACTAATCAACTACTTCATCGCAGTATAAATATCTCATTCTTCATTACATGCCTGGTTATTTGGTAAGACTCTCAAACCAAATGTGTGTACGCTTTTAAAGGACGACGGTGTCCTTGTGTGAGAGGTGTTAACTTGGCACAGGCACCTTCAATAAGCCACAGAGGGCAGATGACGTTAAATGAAACTAGGAGAGGTTAATACATTATGATAATGTGTGGCTCTGGTCCAGGGAGAGCAGTTGGGTTTAAAAAGTAGTTTTATGATAAAAGGTGCAGAGCCAAAGACAGTTTGGCTGCTGCAGGGTGGGAATGGGGGACCAATGGAGAGCTCCTCTACTCCACACAGCAGCAGGCGGATAAATGATCTGCTGCTCTGTTCATCTTCCTCTACATCGCACCCTGCTGCCACAAAGCAACCTACATACACTTTATTTCTGTTGAAATGCCTACATGAGCATTTTGGGGTTGAGCATTTGTCCAAGGACGTGCTTACTGCAGGGGGGGATTGAACCACTGACCCTCTGTTTTACCCCCCTGAGCTAATGCTGCCCATAAAAAAGTGCACTATGAGTACTGCCGAGGTGTCCTTGAGCGATGCATTGAACCCCCAACTGCACAGGTGCGCTGCATCCTCTTACTTTCGGCGTGCGCCCCTCATACCAAAATGCAGATTTTCCAGTAAACCTGATTCTAATTCAGATGACACAGTTCACGAGCACATGATAATAATGGGACTCTAATGAATGCTTTTAATGAATGAGGAGAAATGGAATTGCACCAGCAGGTGGTGAGGTTGTCCTGTTCCTGCAGGGAGCACACACACAAAACACAGGGAGCTATTACAGCCCTGCAGCTGGAGGCTTTGGGCAGTAACATGCACTAATGTTACACAATCATTCATGCTCTTTTGCTCAACAGAAATAATCAAACCGTTCAACCCGGCTAGTTTGGATCAGCATCAATGCTTAATGCTGAAATAAGTATGAAATGGTATATGTGTTTTTTAGTTGTAGATTAACTTACATACCTAAAATTGTTTCATTTCAATGATCTGATATCTGTGCATCAGATCCAATCTTTTCAGTCCTCTGACGCCCTGCAGCTTTACCCTGGGCATGTTACGTAACACTAATCATCTTATCTGGCTAATTACTGACCGAGCCCCTGGCCTCACCTCTAAACCTCATACACACCACTTGCCCTGTGTGTGTGTGTGTGTGTGTGTGTGTGTGTGTGTGTGTGTGTGTGTGTGTGTGTGTGTGTGTGTGTGTGTGTGTGTGTGTGTGTGTGTGTGTGTGTGTGTGTGTGTGTGTGTGTGTGTGTGTGTGTGTGTGTGTGTGTGTGTGTGTGTGTGTGTTTGTGTGTGTGTGGGTTTTCCACATGTGACTTAATGCATGATTAATACTGAAGAAAAATAAATCTGTTGTCAGCCGGCTTTTACACTTATACAAGATGTTTGGTTGTGATCCGCATGTATGTGTGTGCGTTTGTTTGGTGTACCTTGTGACCAGGAGGGGCAGTGTCTGAGGTAGAAGCTGACCTCCGGCCTCCTGCCCCCCCACTGCTGGAGCAGATCCAACAGTAAGATCTCCTGAGGGAGAACACGCTCTGAAAGGAGATAGAAGGGGAGGAACGATTAGTAAAGCTATAACATAGTGTGCTTTATTGTGATTCATAATATTTGTATTCATTCATGGTCAAAATTATTTAAACTTGTAAAACACTTCTTAGCCTCAAGCAGGTAACCTTTACTTTTAAAAAAGCCATTCTGCCCCCTATGCCACCAAATAAATGTTGTCTGGGGCCGAAAAACATATTCAATAACAAAGCTTATTTAAGGTTTTATATATAATTATACTTTTTTTTTATTATGATTTTTTTATAATTAAAAATGTTATAACAACTGATTGCAATAATGTCAACATAGCAAACCTAAGAAAAAAAAGGTAACATTTATTCATGCTAAACTTGCACAACTAAACACTTTTCACTAAAACAGTTTTTAGATTTTTTGAATTCCCTTTCAAAGAAGACTCTTTATTTATCACCAAGGAAAGTTCAATTGTTCACTCTGTTATATACCTGTAGTACAGTACACAAATATAAACAGGACCTTTACACATGCGGACTGAATACATATAAACATACTGTAGACCAGGGAACCGTATACGGCCCGCGAGACCATTTGGTACGGCCCTCGAGATCATTTATAAACACACGCAAAAAAGAAAGAAATTAAAGAAATCTAGACCGCAAAAGAATTAAACAAGCGAGTGCCTGTTTTTCCTGGCCAAGGTCAGGGTCCTTGAACACAACACGAGCCTAACGTGTCATCACGTGGTATATGTCTTGTCTGACAGGGGTGCAGTTCTGACGGAGAGCACCAGAACGCCGCTCCGGGCCTTCACAAATGTCAGTACCCATAAGGAGCCGTACACATGCCGCAGTTTCTGCGTGGCTGTGTCTTTAGTTGAAAGCCCAGTGGCGATCTGTTCCTCTGTCATACTGATCATACAGTCAATAACTTTGTTGTTATTAGCATCTGGTTAGCTAGCTATGCTAACGAATATAAGAAGCTTCTACAACCGCGTAAATGTGCAGTGAGGCACATCTTTATATGATCCTTATAGTTATAAAAAAAAAAGAGAATAGAGTAAACAGGTATAAAATACTATATAACATAAAAAAAAGTTGTTATTAATAAACAAGAATAGAGTTTAAAAGGGGAGTGATTTGTAAAATATCCATAAAGAAAAAGAAAATCTGCTTACAGTTCTGTTTCATATGGGTGTTGAGAGATGTATCCATAGATCTCCTAATGTTGCTCTCAAAGTGCACCAGATTGATGCTTTTAACTTCAATATTTAAAAAAAATCTTCATGGGGGAGCATGCACCCGGACCCCCCTAGAGGAGGTTAGGTCCCCCCCCCTCACTTAAATCATGTCCACATGGATAGGAAACTAAATACATTTGCACACATCTTGTGTCCATATCTTTCTGTTGTGGTGGTCATGCCACACCGTGCACGTGCATGCATCGAGTCATGGTAAGATATCTGGACTAAGAGGTTGCTTTTTCTTTGCACAGCATGAAAGAAAGGCCAAATGAATGGGCTGTGATTTTAGTATTTTTAAGCAGAGGTCAATCATTTGTACGGCCCTCGGAGGATGTTGAAAAAATTGAAATGGCCCTTAAGAGGAAAAAGGTTCCCCACCCCTGCTGTAGACAAACAAACACATTCATGTCTTGTTATGGCGAGGTGTTCAGAGCAAACTGAACACTCTGTTTTTGGGCCAATCGGGACTTAAACTGGCAACCCTTCGGTCCCCAAGCCATATGTCCCTATAGACTGAGCACTTAGATTACATTTACAAAAAAGAATATTAGGTTCAACTTAATCTTATTATTGCTTTCAAATATCCTAATACACTTGTGTGCAATTTGTCAACGTTTCAGTGTATGTTAACTGTAGCTCAGTAGAAACAGCTAGATTCTTTGGTAGCAAAAATAAGAATAACACAACAATAAGAAACTCTATTCTTATATGAGTCATGGTTTTTTTGTCATTAAATTATATTTAACTGAGACTTTTATTTTAAGCACCTCTAGATTGTTGGCAATGCCTAGGGAGCTAAAGGACACTTTGACATCTTCTCTCCAGGGTCTGGGAATCGAACCACTAACCCTCTGATTGGCAGACGGCCAAACACCCCTGAGCCACAGCCTTCCTTTGATCTTTTCCTTTAGCTCTACTAACAACACACACATGTACACAAAGACGTGGGCCCTGAGGCATGGCCTCTCATCTCAAAGGCAACAACATTTCACACGCCATATATTATGTGCTGCCTCACAGCCCCCCCCCCCCCCCCAGAAACAGTATAGTGTCAGAGCCATTTATAGCCTGTCTGAGCGCTGCACTGACACACTGTGATGTGATTGAATGAATGTAGGCCAGGCTTTAATGGACACAGTGTCTCTCAGTGTCTGCATGTGATGGACTGCTCTATTCATGTTAATATAGCCATGCAGTTCACAGAACACACTTAGCGCTGTATTGATTCCTCGAGGTGTAGCTGTGGTCTCACTGTTTTATAATCGGCTGCAGAGCGATCCATGTGGCCACACCGAGACAAACTGCCATTAAACTGTCAAATCATTCCAGATGAAATCACGTAAATACCCTTTAACTCAGAAAAGATCTAAAAGATTGTGTAAATTGTATTTATATGAGTAGTAAACAAGATGATGCATTGTGTGTTTAAGCATGTCTGGCTCCTGCAGAACAACAGTCATTATTATCATCATTTAGTGAGGTCATGTTTCATTATATATGTAAACAGTCTGTATAACAAACATAGGGATATGTTTATATATTGACAGACTTCCATAGAATATAATTTATAAATAATCAAACACCTGTCCTTATGCAGTAGGCCTTAAAGACTGTTAAAGTGTGTACAAGTTATTTAATTAGACTGATATGACGTTAATGATTCAATCAGCTCACCTTGAGCAGAAAGCTGATGCTCATGGAAAACCATGTCATTTATGTATGCAATAGTTGATCATCTGCATAATCTTATGTTTACCTTTTTTTTGGTCTTCATCATTCCTTCTTTATTTTAACTGTTTTAAATGTCTTCCAAATGTCATATTTGTACTAGTATCATACTGTAGTGCAGATGGGATGGACTCACCGTGTCCGTTCCATACTTCAGCGAGGTGACACTCCCCCTCTCCGGCTTCTTTACAGTATTCCACAACGTCAATCACTCTGGTTGCCGGAGTAACCGGGACCTCAGTAAGCATCTGCTGGGTGTCATTGAGGTAAACTGTCAGGATCACCTGTAACCAGAAACAAATATGTCAGATGTCATAAAATGGCTTAATGTATATCACCTTTCCACTTCAGGAACATGAGCATAATGGAAGTTCTTCTCACTGATTAGTGATTGGGTTCAAAGAGATCAACTCATTAACTTTGGTTAACCAATCGATCAACATGGTTCCAATATTAACCAGTGATAAGATCAATCACTCCTGTTCCGATCTCAGAAACAGGAAGCAGCCTGGCTGATCACGTTCAGATGGGAGAGGAAAATCAAGGTAAAAAATATAAAGACAGTGACCATCAGCTCAAACAAACCATCTATCAGATCCATAGATACGTAGATACATTAGCAGAGTGTGAATACACAGTGTACCAAGGGAAAATGAAATAAATCCAATCAGAGACAGCCCATGTACAGGAAGGCAACTTGTCTTTGAAAGCACAATATAAACCTGAGCTGAAGAAGATACATTTGATCTAACGTTGATGTGTTAATGCTCATTATTAATCTGGAAACATATTGAAAAAACATTCATGCAAATGAATCACATGACCAAGTTTGACACAAAGTTGCTCCTGTAATAGCAGAACAGATGTTTACCATGGATAGCATGGCATTGAAAAGGCAAAGAAAGCAGAGGAACTGGTTCCTTAGGTTTAGTGAAAACAGAGGAAAGGTATTTTGCCGAACCATGACCCATTTTTCTGAAATTGCACAGAAGCGGGAGATAGCGGAAAGGGTCACCCCCGTAGGAACAGATAGAGCTCGCAGTGTGAATACTACACACTGTAGCACACATTATACAGCAGCTTTGTCAATGCTTTAGCTAAGTGCCGGAAAATTGTCGGACCATATGCTAATAATTCAGAAATCATGTTATAATAAAGTAAAAAAACCTTGGATTTATCTCACCAGATTAAAACTTTATTACAACGCTACACTTGTAATTACTAGTATTTTAAACAGGTGCTTCATCAGGATTAATCACAGATTATTATTGTGATTAACGCAAAAATGTTTATAGATTGACAGCACTAAATGTAATCTTTAAGACATCAAGACAAACATATTGTCAAGTGATTAGAAGGTCATTGAGATAACAGCAGTATGTAACAACACGCAGCCGTCCATCTGACTTAGCAACACATTGATCACAGCTCTGTAATTACCTATCAATAATGGCTTGCATAAACAAGACATGCACATACATAGCCCTAGGACAAAGGTTTATTTCAATTTGATCAAATGAAAAGGTAAATTATCTTATCTTTCCATCCATATTAAATCAGAAAGGTTCCAAAACCCAATGTATATAACTCTTTAGTTAGTTTAGTGTAGATTTATATAATCAAGGGAGTGTAATATTGCCAGAATTAAAAAGATATTGGTTTGGTTTATCATTTTTAACATTTATCAGCTGATCCCCTCTGAAATCGTTCTGTAATCCAATTCTCCGAATTCTGCAGGAAAAAGATTAAAATAGCAATCAGAAAAGGACATCCTGTGTTATCGCCAGTGATGTCATCGCCAATGTCACTGCTGATGTCATGTCAGATAGTCATCGGCATTTCAAGATACATTTAGGGTAATCTGGGATAGGAACACACCGAGGCACACACACACACTGATACACTTTTAATCTCAATGTTCTCTCTCTCTAGCTCTGAAACACACACGCACACGCACACGCACACACACACACACACACACACACACACACACACACACACACACACACACACACACACACACACACACACACACACACACACACACACACACACACACACACACACACACACACACACACACACACACACACACACACACCATCCACTGTCCACATACACAGGCAGACACACAGGAATATATACTGTACAGTACACTAATCCAGAGTATTCTACACACCTGTCCCAGATCATGTGAAGTAATCTCTGCTTGCATGCAGACAGACTGGACAGGGACACATTCACTAAAGCCTGGATTAGACACACACAAACACACATGTAAAAGCAAACAACACACACACACATAAACACACATGCAGACCCTGCAGACACAGCAGGGGTTTTAGCAGACCAGGAACCATTTAAAGTAGGCTAATCATGGCCTCACGAGGGCTGTGATGTTTCTGCTTTACATGGTAGGAAACAGCATTTGTTACACTGAAGGACTGTTGGCAGAGATGAAAGAGTGTTTTATATAATCAAATCACTCAGAGTGCTTTTCTCATTTGAGGCAGATATCAACAGGATACTCATAAATCCGTAGAAAAGCCATCCAAAATATTTGTCATCCAAAATATGCACTATAAATGTAGCACGCACATTCAGTCATTAGAAAAGCATTGCAGAGATATGTTTAATATGTAGCAACTAGTGGTGGCCGGCCCATAGGGGCGCCGCCTCACCTCTTCCCACATTCTAGATTGCCATTAAAAATACATATTATATAGCTGGCAGTGTTTCCCATACATTGATTTATTTGTGGCGGTTTATTTGGTTCTATGACATAAAATAATGGAAATGGAAAATCTCATTGCTTTGTGTAAAGGGAGCCCCCTAACTACCGGGTCATCCTACAAAAATACAACATCACTGCACTATACTTTAAATATAATTGGTATGTTTCACCAATGGGATACTGTTTCATCATGAACTCAAACATATGCTAACTTCCATGCTCGCCTTTGAAAAGATGTCCTCCCTGCACCACTGTTCTTGATCAAAAACCATTTGTGTTCTTGCTCCAGGACATTTCAACAAGTGTACAGGAGCAGCCGTGGAAAGGGGGTTCCTAAATTCCATTAATTAGTTAGTTAATCACAAATTACTTCTCTTACTTCAAACAACTGATAAGAACTGTTCGGCTGTACTATGAAGCACTTTCTATAAACAAGGAATCAGATTCGATCGAATTCCCTCTTGTTAATTAACCATGTATAAAGGTCTTTATCCCAGCAGAAATCAAGCACATTACAAAGGCCAAAGGTCAAAAGTAGGGATGCTCCGATCGCCAATTTTGGGGCCGATCGCCGGAATCAGTATCGGCCGATATTGATCGCCAATCCGATCGAGTGAGCTGGGGCTATGGGGATCTTCCATTTAAAGTGATGTTTAAAACTCAGTTAATGGGGCTCATTCACTGGCGCTTCCACAAACAACAACCAACATAATTATTACATTCAAATGAAGTACATTATTTAAGTTTACATTAACTTTGGATAATAACACGGGAGAAATGAGCGGAAGCGCTCTCTTTTCCTCTCTCCCTCTCTCTCTCTCTCTCTCTCTCTCTCTCTCTCTCTCTCTCCTGACAGCCTGTCAGTATCTCATGCAGCTCACTGATCCAGTAATGAGTGACCTGACAGTGAAGAATAAATATATTTATAACTAGTTTAGCTAGTTCCAGAGGTAGATCAAATAGCTAAGTGTGTTAGGTCTAACTCTTGTGTGTTTTGCTCCGCTCACCGGTCCGTCACAGTGGGCGGAGCTGCAGGATTTCTGCTTCACACACGTTGCATACCGCTATTTTATTGTCATTTTTGGACACCTTAAAATACTGCCAGACTGGTGAAGCCATTTTGGCGAGCTTGTTTTGCCGCGCACAGAGAAAAGTGTCATGTATTTTACGTCATGCGATCGGCTCTCGCGATCGGCATTTTTAGAGAGCACCGATTGATCGGCAGAGAGTGAGTATCGGCCTATATCGATCGGCGGCCGATCGATCGGAGCATCCCTAGTCAAAAGCAAGCCGGATGTATCACTTGTTGGCTACTCTACCATTACCATTATACTGTAGATGTGCATACTAACTATGATAACACTGAAGTTGTCTATTTCTATGCATGTGTAATAGTGCTTAAGAGACACAACATAACATCGTAAAATTGGAATTTAACTATGTTACATCATTAGCAGTGAATGTTCATTATATAAAAGCCTTTATGAATGATAGAATTGTGAATTAGAAATTAAGTTATAGGTGCATTATAGTTTCAAACATTGTATGTTTAAACATAATGAAATCCCCAAGAAGGTTCACTTCAGTGAATTATCAGTGAACAGGCCTCACAAAAACGCACACCCACACAGAAGCAGATTGAGTTGTAGTTCCTAAATTGCCACTGGTGCCGAATAGACTGACTCCGGCTATTTTAGGCATTAGAGACGGAGAAAGAGATAGTCAGAGGAAGAGGGTGAGACTCCATGTCGGCAAGAGTGACAAACAGCTTTCCCTGTTAGTGTGTCTGCTGCTAACAAACCACATCAATGCTCATTTTATTAGTGACTGCAGGGCATTTCAACACCGCGTACTCATTTAAGGGGATGGTGGCAACATGGAACAGAGGTTGGCATGGCAGAAAGCCAGCCTGGAACTTAGCAACAGGAACTGTCAATGAAATGCTAATTAGATTTATTGTGTTGGTTAAAAGTGATTATACATATTCAGATTTAGAATTTTTAGAACCAGAATACTGTATTCATCACAGGGGGGTTATTGTGTTTTATGACGGTTGCCTCATTTTAGAACAAAATAAACAAACATTTAAATTTAAAATAAAATATAATTCACACAAAAGGTTATTAAAAATATGCAAAATAAATCAAACAATCAAAACCTCACTATTGCAATAATCCTTTTTTTGTTATATAAATAAATGTATTTAACTAAAATAAGAGCAAAGCTATTGTGTCTCACTCACCGATGGTTCGGTTTTCTTGGTTGTGAGCTTCTTCTTCTTCGTCTGTTTCCTGCATTGGCCTAGTTTGAGTTTCTTAGTTACAAACACAAGTCGCTCCAACAGGAACCCAAAGAAACGCTTCATCAGAAAACCATCAGCCCAAAACACACACACTGTGTGTATGCATGTGTGTGTTCAGTTATAAAATAGTTAGTGGTGTCAGATGGAATAAGTGGGGTCCTGGTAGGAGAAAGTGAGTTTGAGTGTGTGTGCAAAGAGGGTGTCAGTGAGGGAGGGAGTCGCCTTTCAGTAAATAGGAGGAGAGGATG